TTCAGGGGAGTTTCCAAGGGGGCGGCGTAGCACTTTACTTTCAGCTTGGTGCACCCTTGCACCAAGCACAGCACATGCTCAGAAAAGGAATTACATCAATATGACCTGGCTCACCCAGTGTCTATATAGCTCACATGCTTCAGCTGGGCTTTTTGGCACCTTTATCTAATAGCTGATTGAATCAGCTATTAGATAAAGGTGCCAAAAAGCCCAGCTGAATTGTGCAAGCTATATAGATGCTAGAGTGGATCCAACTGACATGATTCCTTTTCCAGTAAAGCACTGTTTTATTTTTTCCCCATGCTTGTCACAGGAAAAAAACTAATAATGTGCCCATTATTATTAAGGAAATCCACGACACTGCTTCCTGCCTAGTGTGCCCCCACCCCCATGCCACTCTGCCTCCCCACTGGACAGCAGCAGAAGTGGGGACTACCCGTGGAGAAATGGGGTGAGTGATGCCAGGAAAACAGGTAGCTGGTGCTCTGCTGGGCAAGAAATCAGGAGGAGGGCTGAGCTGGAGGCTCCTGCTGAGCAGGGAGAAAGTTGAGTAGATTTGAGACTTACAGTCATTTATTGGCAGTAGGTTTTCCAGGATAGCTAATGCAAATCAGCTAAAGATGTGAATTTAAGGGGCATAAGTTAAAGCACAAGAAGCACTCAGATGGTTGCTCTCATTCAGATGCAAGGTTAATCTACAGCCAGTAGCCTATTTTCTATAATACGGGCAGTATCCACACATAGGTAACAAGTTTGGGGAAATTCTGAGTAACAATTTACCCAGCAAATTGCATTTGTTTTTATTTGTAACTCTATGGGTTAATCACAGACAGCCCTCTCCAAGTACTCACTATCTATCCGGGGCAGGCAATTATTTTGGGCGGAGGGCCACTTACTGAGTTTTGGCAAGCCATTGAGGGCCGTATGACAGGCAGCCAGGAGCAGATAAATACTAATTTTCTAAATTTTTTAGGGGCCTCCTGGGTTGGATAGAATGGCCTGGCGGACCGCATTTTGCCCAGCCCTGATCTACCCATTTCCTAAAGCCTGAGCTGTGCACAAGGCAGTTCTGACTACCCATCAAGTTTATTTCTGTTTCTTAATCGGATAAGCATATTTGTGACCTTTAAAATAGACAAAATTACATGGAATAGCAAGAATTATTTTTTAAAACATTATACTGTCTCACAGTATTAGGCCTTTACAAACTAAAGTAATGTCAACTCACTGAACTCAATGGCAATATTCCCACTGACTTCAGGCCCTGAATGCACAAGATTGCCCTGGCTTACTGTATGTGTAACAGCACAGATCAAATTCTGCCCTCAGATATACCTGTGAAATCTCACTTCAGTGAGGATAGAATTGCTGGAGAAATGTCAATTTTAGTATATAGGAGCTTGATTTTCAGAGATGCTGAGGTCTGTAGTTTCTGCAGAAGCACTAAATTGTGAAAATAGGATCCTCGAGTCCCTGAATGAAAAAGTTTTAGACATGCACTACATAAAGCCTCGATTTCCTGTACAAACCTGAAAAATGGTATGTGCAGCCTCCCTTGAAGATAAATTCATTATTACTTAATAATATACAATTACAATAGCTACGTATAAAATATACATATCCTCATTTACTCACTACAGATACATATGGGAGCTCCTGCTGCTTTGTACTGCCCTGATGGAAAGCAGCCAGAAAGCTGCTTTTTACTGTCAGAACAGTGTGAAGCAGCTGGAATATATTGAAGAAGCTGAACCCAAATGTGAGATCCGTTCTACTGGAGAAGAAAAAGGAGAAATAACTCACAAATAGTTTAAAACCCAGCTCCAACTCCACCTTGGGTGGGTAATAAACACTTACACAACTAGCTTTAGCTGCATTTGAGACTGCTTCCATGGATTTTAACTCCTAGTCCTCACTGTATAACTTACATTGTCCTTCTAAGCAAGTTCAGAAGGAATCCACTCCAGCCACTTATGCTCTCTTGCAGTCCCATTCTACTCATGAAGGTATGCAACTTCACTTAAGTCCCTGAAATACCACTTTTCTGAGACCTGATGATGCCAGAGGAGGAGGAGACAATACCCCACAACTATATCATGGAAAAAGCAAAAACACTACTGGGGCCAGTGGCATGAAGCAAGGTTGAAAACCCAACATACTCCCCTTTCCAGGCATTGTTACTCAGTCAGAGAGCCTGGCTCACTCTTACTTGCTCTCTCTTTACATTCACATAGCTTCCCTTGATTGTCTAGTGGTTAGTTCTACTTCTCTGACTAAAGTGGAGTAGAATTTGGGCCTAAATGTGTAGATAACTAAGAACTCTCCTATAATTAACACATCCCCCACAGCCTCAACACACACCTTGGACTTACTTCAATAGTGATGCAAAGGCTGGCTTCCGCAAACAAGTGGTTAGTACATTTTTTCTTTCCATTGTCCTATATGAGAGCCTGAAAGAAGAGAATTTTAAAGAATCAGTAAGTGAATCAAGCATCTAAAAGAGGTGGCACCAACCCTGTTGCTACAGAAATATTTTGACATAAACTACTAAGTTCTAATAGCCTGTCAATAGATCCTGCAAGTGAATGAAGTAACCCTTCATTACTGCTTACATGTGCATGACAATTGGAACCCCTACTTGCTTTTGTGTTCATTTTGCTATGCATTACTGGCAGCGCACTTATTATGCAGCACAGCTCCAAGATATCCATCACTATCACCTGCTAGCTATTAAAGCATCTATAACTAAAAATCCTGCACTAGACCTCTCTCTGAGAAAGCAGAACATCTCTCTGATGCCAACTGGAAGCTTGCTTAGGTGGATCTTTTTAGGTCAATCCAAAGGCCAACACTGAGTCCTTCTGAGAGAAAAGAGTAAATGAGATCTTATGGAGAAATCACCCTCCAGATTTAAGCTTAAGAGCTAAGGCTTCTACTCATAAGCTCATTCCCACCTTCCATTTGTCTAAGAAAGGCAATAAGCTCTGGAGTTTATTCACGTGCAGCACACTGAGCTGGGTCGGAACAACACTAACTGGCGGGGGGGGGGGGGTCAGTCTGCCAACCTGGGG